TTTCGTCTAAGATTTACCAATAACACTGCTCTACAGCCAAAATGCTTCTGAAATAAATGTAGTCAAACTTTACTAATTCTGGGTCACTGAGAACGAAAATGAGTCTTAAAATTGTTGATTGGCTCTAGTTTTCAAGATATGCTATTGGGTCAGTATATACGACCCTTGACTTGGGAATGGCGGAGGATAAGTGAGTTATAAAGGGAAGGGATCTCAATTTAAACCAGAAATGACTAAAATACATCTTTGACTGGATCTATGAATACATCTATGACTGGGTTTGGACAGTACTTGCTTTTTAGGCAAAACAATGAATGATGCAATCTGAAGCTGGTATTGCGTCATACATGATATGAATTGCATCGTGTTATTCCTAGAAGTCATGGATGATGCAATCATAACGAAGCTTACATCACTCTGCTGAACAAATTGCCCTATATCAGCTCTAGAAATCATACAGTGTCGTGCTCTCTTATTTGTCAGTGTTTGATTTTGCAAAGGGACACATTTCTGTTTAGCCAAAGTGAGCAGAGATGCCTCGTACTTGTGTGACCAGTGCAGATAACTTCTGCTATGTTTGTGGTGAAGTGACTTTTGCATCACAAAAGCGCAGTATAACCACTATGGTTAAGAAAGCCTATCACCTTTATTTTGGCTGCAAAATTGGAGATCGGGACAAGAGGTGGGCCCCACACATATGCTGCAACACTTGTGCAACAAATCTTCGCCAGTGGTTGAACAGGAAAAGGAAATCTATGCCTTTTGCAGTGCCAATGATTTGGAGAGAGCCAACAGATCATACCAGCAATTGTTACTTCTGCATGGTGCCTCCAGTTGGGAAAGGTGTGTCAAAGAAGAAAAAGTGGACTGTGCATTATCCAAACATTCCATCAGCTATACGCCCAGTACCCCACGGAGAAGGACTGCCGGTTCCTGATGCACCAGAATCATTCTCACTTGAGTCAGACGAGGAAGAGGATGAAACTTCTGGTCCTGAACCATCAATGTCACAGGACCCACATTTTCTCCCATCCTCCTCCTCTGAACCACACCTCATAACACAAGGTGAACTGAATGACCTTGTCAGGGATTTGGAACTACCCAAGAGTAAGGCAGAGCTGTTGGGCTCCAGACTACAGCAGTGGAATCTCCTGGCAGGTGATGTTAGGGTTTCCATGTTCCGTGACCATCAAAAGGATCTTGTCCCATTCTTCTTCATAGAAGGTGATCTTGTAGCCTGCAACAACATCGAAGGTGTGATGGCAGCCCTCAACATCGTTCACGATCCAGATGAGTGGAGACTGTTCATTGATTCAGCGAAGACGAGTCTTAAAGCTGTTTTACTGCATAATGGCAATGTTTTGCCATCAATTCCAGTTGGTCATGCAGTCCATATGAAGGAAACCTATGACAACATGAAACAACTTTTGAGGTGCATAAACTATGACCAACATCAGTGGCAGCTTTCTGGCGATTTGAAGGTTGTTGCTCTCTTGCTTGGTCTGCAGACTGGATACACAAAGTACTGCTGTTTTCTCTGTGAATGGGATAGTCGTGCAAGAGATTCCCACTACATCAAGAAAGATTGGCCACTCCGACAGACATTGGAGCCTGGGAGGAAAAGTGTTCCGTATGCACCACTTGTTGAATCAAGGAAGATTTTGTTACCACCCTTACACATCAAGCTGGGTTTGATGAAGAACTTTGTCAAGGCCATTGACAAAACACAAGCAGCTTTCAAGTACCTCCGTGGAAAATTTCCAAGGTTAAGTGAAGCTAAGATAAAGGAAGGTGTCTTTGTTGGTCCTCAGATTCGTGAACTTCTTCGAGATGATGCATTTGACCATGCACTGCGTGGCAAGGAAAAGACGGCATGGAAAGCCTTCCAGTTAGTGGCAATAAATTTTCTCGGAAACAGCAAGGCGGACAACTACAGGTTGTTGGTGGAAAACCTCCTCAAGGCATACAAAAGCCTTGGTTGCAACATGTCACTAAAGATACATTTTTTGCACGCTCATCTAGTTTTTTTCCACCGAACTGCGGAGCAGTGAGCGACGAGCAATTTCACCAGGACATTGCAACAATGGAGAAACGCTATCAGGGCAAATGGAGCCCATCAATGCTTGCAGACTATTGCTGGACAGTGACAAGATATGCTCCATTTAATGAATACAAGAGACAAGCCAAGAAGCGCAGAGTAGACACTGAATAGGACTAAACTATGTACAGAATAGTTTGTCTTTTGTTTCATAATAAATTTTATTTATATAACCCTTTTGCTGATTTTTAAAGTGTTACATAAACAGGACAGGTGAAATATTATCATTAAAGCAACCATAAACACTTGAAAAGACATAGGTTTACAATTTATGATTCAAACTCTATCTACACAATATACATAGACATAACATGTAAAAACTTAAATATCTTAGAAACAGTAGCCAGTTGTTTTAATTGTCATATTTGAATTCAGCACATCAAAATACATAATAAATAGCACATTTTATCTCTGAAGCAGACGACTTCTCAAAAATTGTAGACCAGTGTAAGTAGACTTTTTTTCAAACCGTCTCAGCATTACAGGCTTCATTCTATCAAAGCCAAACGTTAAGAAGATATGCCACTTCTAGCACTTTAATCCCAAAAATTTGAGATTGTGACAGATTGTCCCAATTGTCTGCTTGACTTTAAAAATAGGTGAAGAAAGAAAGAAAAAAAGACTGCGATGATGAAGAGAGGAATTAAACTTCAGAAGGAAAACTATGTTGAGATTACACACATAATAGCACAGCTGGGCCTACAAATGTACAATCTGTGTGGCTGCACACACAGACATTCCACTCATGAGGAGACCAATGCTAATATAGCAAAACCTGCAGGCTGCCAGACCATTCTGTGGCCCTGAAGCTGCAAGCTGCTCAACATAGGCAGACCCATGCACCTGTGCAGAGCCACAGTGAAATCGAGGGGTCAGGCCACCTATAGCTACATACAGGATCAGGGTCTCCATAAGCAGTAGTGAGTGCCAGTGGCTGAAGCACAATAGTCTTGTATACCAGTAGCCTAGAATAATAGAAGCAAACCAAGGCATTCAAGGTAATCATCGAAGAGGAAGAGAACTGCTCTCGTCCCACTAGGTGCTCTCTTATCCTTCAAACACATGCCAACCTGGCACTGAACAATACTAAGAAAATACTGAGTTTTTCAAGCACCAGTGCCAGCACATGCGAGTTGAACGGCAGACTGTGTACAGATATTTTTACCACCACGCCGGACGCCCGGTCTACACTATAGTTTCCAAAACTGGCAGTGCTGATGCTGAACATTTTTTTTCTCTCCAGTGTCAATACATTTTAAGAGCAAGTGTAAAAGAGGTTTTCTACCAGCCTGGCACAGCAATGCTAGAGACCATTCTTCAAGGGCAGTATCCCCTGGATGACACTTCAGTGTTCAAATACATATTGAGTGTCAGAAAACCCAATGCAAGAACCATAGGTAATGAGGATCAAAAGGATTTTGTTAATCCACACACCAAGGTATGAACAGTGTTTTAAAGTTACAAGCTGAGTCACATATATTTAAGAAAAAAATTACATTCTACTAATTATAATTCTGTATTACTTTCAAAATACAGCAATTTGAAACGACTACCATAAACAGTCTCACTAGTTAGATTATCCCTGCATGGTTTCACACTACAGTTAAACAAAGTATATCTCAAGGTAGGTCATGCTGTTTCAAATATATGTATGCATTATTATTGATGTTATTTGTACTTGTGGTCAGGAATAGAACAGGTCTAAAACTGACAGACAAAACATCTCAAAACAGAAACTGACTGAAAATAAAGATTTTTTTTAAAAGTGAAAAGACACCTTCTAATCAACATTATCTATCTACAGACTTTCTGTGCATAATTGGCAAAAGAGGCGGGTACTTAAGTGTTTTCCCCACTGTTTCTCAGGGTGTGACTACAAACTAGCGTTTTTATTCAAACTTCCCACTGTTTCGCTCCCACCAGCACAGCTCTACCAGAGGTACAGTAGCCGTAAAGGAAGAGCTACTACAGACAGGCCACTGATGTTTTAGCCACAGTATTGTCTAACCCTAATTACGGCAAGTCTAGATGAGTTAAGACGTTCCAGTGGCTTCTGAAAAGAATTCTGCATAAGGCCACCTAGTCACTACTGCCAGCAGCAGAACTGCAATGGTGAGAAATTTGAAGAAAAATGCTAATGTAAACAAGGCCTTAATCAGAGATCTTCTGTTCCAGAAGAAACGAAAACATTAGTTCTGTTCACTGCTACTTTTTACCACGGGCAGTGTGCCAAATGCTGAGTTAACAGAACTATCACTTGCCACTGAACCACATATAATAGGGAGTAAGCAGAGTTCTCCCCATTTGGAGGAAGAGCATGAAGCTCCTGTCTAACTAAAACAGAACTTCCAGTCTCAATGGTTACCACCTCTGGGGCAGCCCAAGTTCTTAGAACAGAAGTGGGAAACACACCAAAGTTTAAGGATAAAGCAGGGCAACTTAGCGCTCTTCAGCCGTAACTCCTCACTGGGGTGGGGACGCGCTGGAGAAGGGCCCTGGGTCAACTTCCCTCCCGACACGAGTTTCCTGCACAGGTGCAGAGCTGACACACGCTCGCCTTGTTGTCATTCGGAAGCCCAGCAAGCCCGACAGCGTCCCCCCATCTGGAGCGTGGGAGCCGCAGGAGGCAAAGCGGAGCCTGGGGTGGGTGGGGTTTCGCAGCGCTACCTGAGCCCCAGCGCCTCGTCAGAGCCAGAGCGACAAACAAGCGCAGGCACCCAAACGAAGCGAACAAAAAGCCGCCCCGGCACCCGGGGACCAGGTCAGCCCCGCGGCGCGCTGCAGGCCCGTCTGCCGGTGCCCTCGTCCCCAGCCCCTGGGCGCCTCGCTGCCCCCGCGCACAGCACCCACCCGCACCTCCCCCTGGCCATGCCCCACTAATGCAGCCCGCCCCGCCTCTGACCTGCTGGCGGCGGCACCTCGGCGGGGCCCTGGCTGTGTCCGCCCGGCGACCGCGGAGCTAGCTGTCGCCTCTCTCCCGCCGCGGCTCGCTGCTCGGGCGGGGGCGGCTCCACACACGCCAGCGACGCGCCTCCAGGCTGGGCCGGGCCTGGCCACCCCGCCCTGTGCGCGGAGGGGAGGGTGCAGCTCCCCCGGTGACTCCGCCTCCCTCCCCCAAAGCGGCACTGCAGCTCCTGCCCTGCACCCCTCAAACATGCCGCCCACCCCCCAGGGACTCGCACAGGCTGCATCCGCCCACCGCCCCGCCTCGAGAGTGTGCTCCCCAGCGCCCTGCCACCGCCCCTGCATACCCTGGTGCGGGGCTCCCACCCAACCTGACCCAAACCTCGCGGGGGGCGGGGAGGGGAAGGACCACGACACAGCCCCTTTCAACTATTTCTCACCTGCGCTCTTCCCTGGGTCTGTAGTTCCGACCTCACTGGCCACTCATCATCCATCCTGTGCCTACAGTACCCAAGCACACCCTTCACCACTTGGGCCCTGATCCTGGAAACACACTCGTGCTTACCTTTACTATCCTGAGTAGTCCCCCTGAAATTGGGATCCGTGGCAGTATGGGGGGCAAGTTGAGCAAGAATCATAGAATCATAAAATATCAGGGTTGGACGGGACCTTAGGAGGTCATCTAGTCCAACCCCCTGCTCAAAGCAGGACCAATTCCCAATTAAATCATCCCAGCCAGGGCTTTGTCAAGCTGTGCCTTAAAAACCTCCAAAGAAGGAGACTCCACCACCTCCCTAGGTAACGCATTCCAGTGCTTCACCACCCTCCTAGTGAAAAAGTTTTTCCTAATATCCAACCTAGACCTCCCCCACTGCAACTTGAGACCATTGCTCCTTGTTCTGTCATCTGCCACCACTGAGAACAGCCGAGCTCCATCCTCTTTGGAACCCCCCCTCAGGTAGTTGAAAGCAGCTATCAAATACCCCCTCATTCTTCTCTTCTGGAGACTAAACAATCCCAGTTCCCTCAGCCTCTCCTCATAAGTCATGTGCTCCAGACCCCTAATCATTTTTGTTGCCCTCCGCTGGACTCTTTCCAATTTTTCCACATCCTTCTTGTAGTGTGGGGCCCAAAACTGGACACAGTATTCCAGATGAGGCCTCACCAATGTCGAATAAAGGGGAACGATCACATTCCTCGATCTGCTGGCAATGCCCCTACTTATACAGCCCAAAATGCCGTTAGCCTTCTTGGCAACAAGAGCACACTGTTGACTCATATCCAGCTTCTCGTCCACTGTGACCCCTAGGTCCTTTTCTGCAGAACTGCCACCCAGCCATTCAGTCCCTAGTCTGTAGCAGTGCATGGGATTCTTCCATCCTAAGTGCAGGACTCTGCACTTGTCCTTGTTGAACCTCATCAGGTTTTTTTTGGCCCAATCCTCTAATTTGTCTAGGTCCCTCTGTATCCGATCCCTACCCTCTAGTGTATCTACCATGCCTCCCAGTTTAGTGTCATCTGCAAACTTGCTGAGAGTGCAGTCCACACCATCCTCCAGATCATTAATAAAGATATTAAACAAAACCGGCCCCAGGACCGACCCTTGGGGCACTCCGCTTGAAACCGGCTGCCAACTTGACATGGAGCCATTGATCACTACCCGTTGAGCCCGACGATCTAGAAGTGGGAAGTACTCCCAGTATGTAGTAACTACAGGGATTGAGACCAAGCAAGACTGTAAAATCCACCCAAGGACAAACACCCTTTTATTCTTCTTCTTTAAAATGAGGGGAAAGTGAAGTCACTGCAAAAAGCAACTTACTGTTAAAATAGCAATAAGCCTCTCCAGGGTATAAGTCAGTAGGGTTTTGGCATGCAGGTTCTGCCACCTGTGAAATGCACCAATAGGCTATTAATGCACACTGTCATAAGGCTTATTGCTATTAGAGTATGGTTCATTAATTTTGCCTCTTGCTTTCTTAAAATAACCCATCTTTCCCTAAAGCAGTTTTGTGCAAAATATTCTTCCACTTTGAAAAATTGTATGTAGTAAATTTGAGAAAACAGGGCAAATATGAAATACTTTTACTCTTTATTTGTTTAATCAGATTGCTACCACTAAGACCAGATACTTAGAATGGGGAATGCTAGTAGTGTCATTAATATTTTACCTAGTGGTAAAAAGCAGTTTTGAAGGCACCAGTTTTGAAGGGTTTGTAGGAGACACCATCGTGATATCCTCCACAGTTTGTGCACCATACAACCAAACCTCTTGTGTGGACACTCTTACAAATAACTTTAAGAGTTCCATACAGGAGGGTTGTACTGATTTTACTAACTTGGGCATAAGATGTATGTAGACCAGTAGACCAAACCTTCACCACAAAAAGATGTTGGCAAAAGGCCAGCTGCCACAGCCCTTGCAGTCTCCTCAGTATCATATCCCAGACCACAACAAGGTCTATGTTAGTGCAGGCATGCAGTCTCTTCCCCCCACCCTTGCCCCAAAATATAAGTGAACCTTCCTCATTAAGAACTACTTATTTACATGCTAGAGGCAAGTTGGTATAAGTCAGCACAGATCCATTGAAGTCAGTGGAGCTATGCAGATTTACACAGTTGAGGTGTAACTGCCATTTTCGACATACTAGGGTTGACCAGGCTATCAGATAACTTGATGATTGAAGAGATTTTTCTCAAATCAAGCATGGAAAGCTTCAGATCAGAATGAGATTCTTCCAGAAACTATGAGCCTCTGCACACAGTAGATTATATTGGACTCCATTTAGCTTTCATTACCAGCAAGTACTATTAGTAATTTTACTAATTTCTTTCTTCAGAAAAAACCCCACACATGGAACTAAATGTAAGGCTGGCAGAATAAAGGCTTAGCAAACCGTCAACTGCTGATAATTCCGTGGAAGATCACAGAACTAGGAAACAAGACTGCACACTCCTTTTGTCCATGTTTCTGAGATGCCATTTTTCATAAGTTATATGCATGAAGCATTAAACTTGCTTACAAGCCAGGAGGGTGGGTGGGTGAGGTCCAACCCATCTGTTCTTGATGCATTTCTGGCAATAACTCTAAAAATATATTTGCAAAAAAATTATTGGGAGTGACTGAATTCTTGAATTTTGGTATAAGAATTTTTCAAAACATAAAACTAGATTTGACATTCATCATTTAACATATAGAGAAATCTGCTTCTTGCATTTTGATTAATCGATTTTAAACCCCAAAGGGACCATTTAAGATAATCTGATCTGCATAACCAAGGCAAAAGAACCTCACCCACGGAACTCATCATCAAGCCCATTATGTCTGGTTGAGCCACAGGATATCTTTTAGAAAGATAATAATATATGGAGATATACTTATCTCATGGAGCTGGAAGGGACCCTGAAAGGTCATTGAGTTGGGTCCAGTCCTCTGCCTTCACTAGCAGGACCTGATTTTGCCCCAGATCCCTAAGTGGCCCTCTCAAGGATTGAACTCATAACCCTGGGTTTAATAGGCCAATGCTCAAACCACTGAGCTATCCCAGCTATTAGTTGTAAAGGAAAAGCATTAAACCACTGCTATAGTTACCAAGACACGCACCAATGACTTTGTCTGCCCAATCGGCTCATGAGCATGCGTGTCACACTTTGGACTTCAGAGTCACTTCAGAATCCACAAAGAGAGATAGCATGTGTAAGCAGGGTCTGAATGAACTCTCCACTGACAGCTAGTTCGGGAGGGGGAGAGACTTCAGGAGCAAACTATATGTACATGAACACACCTATGTTGCGTAGGTATCTAGCAGACAGGAGATGTATAGTTCCAAGTGATCAGCTTTGGCTGGTGTTGGGTTACAAATCACTTTAGTATGGAATGCAGGGGTAGTGAAATTTTGTTATCAATGTTATCTTCATTGTATGACTAATGGGGAGCAGAACTGTGCTGAGCTTGTCCCAATTGAGGGGTCACCCACAGCTGAAAGGAACTTGCTAAGCCAGGGGCTTGAATGCCAGACCCCTGTGAAAGTAAGGGAGGGGCAGGTGTCCTAGTCAGGAGGTGTGGACTCTCCGTAAAGGTTTAACCTGTTCCTCTCCACTGTTCAATGATAGAGCTAAATGGGCTTCATTAGGAGTCTTTTGTTGTGTTAAAGTGCTCAAATGAGAGCCGGGTAGTGTGTCTGCCCAGCCTGCAAAGAGCTGAAAATCTCTAAGAGGCTGACGAGATCACAGCAGAGAGGCAGGTGGCAGTAGAAGGTGACTGACAGTCGGCTGGTGAATGAGCAGCTGACAAGGCAGCAAGTGGAACAAGTGGCTGGAGGAGTGGCCAGGCAGGGAGGAGCCTTTGCTAGCAGGGTGGCCAGTGGAGAGAAACCGTGGCTGGCAGGGCAGCCAGCCAGACCAAGTGCTCAGATGACAGAGCAAGCAAGGTGCCTTCTTCCTTGGATGGGAGGGAACTCATACGGATTCATCTCTGAACCCTGGGTCCTCACTGACCAAGGACAACCACTGTGAATGGGGTACGGTGAGGGAGCAGAGAAAAGGTACTTTTGGTTGTAGAACTCAAGAATATGAGGCAGAAGGCACTGCCCCACGCACTCTGGGGTGGGTGTTCTGCCCACAGTTTTATGATTATGAATCCTGCTTGTGGCATTTTTCCTAATTAATGTCGGGGGACTTCCCTCCTTTCATTAAAAGTTTCTTTTCTACACTTGTGAGTGAGGAAGTATTGCCTCTCAGAGGCGCCCAGGGGTGTGTGTAATTTTCCCAGGTTACTGGGTGGGGTCTCGAGCCGGTTCTGTGTTGTATTATTGAAGAGGAACCCCTAGATATTGAACCCGGCCTTGGTTACTGCCAGGTCCACTTGGCAGAAGGGTTACATATGAAAATGTCATCGTTGAACCAATGGACTACATGAAATATCAATCTAAATAACTAGCTACACTGAATTTATTATTGGAATTTGCATTTGTTTTACAGACAATTAACCCTGTCTTCCCTGTCCTTATAGGCCAGTAGTGTAAGATTACATTGTGATGCTAAAACAATCACCTTCAGACACCCTT